CCTTATCGGGAGTCATGCAGTGCTACTGCCTCCAATGATTGAAAAGCAGATTGCACTATAGTTTTTTTGATACCTAATAGCGTAATGCTGTAAATCACATATGGACTCTGTATCCTCAGTTTAATCAAATCTAAGGTGAGTAAGAATAAGGACCCTAAATTACCGAATGCGTAAAACTTGTACTTCTGCATGTATTTGATTTTTTTTTAAGGTACTGTCATTTAATTTCAAATTCTCATTAGTATTCAAATAAATCCACAGTAGCCTCATTCTTTTGTTACGGACAACAGTGAAGAATGTAAATGCGATCTTTAGAGAGTTTAACTATTCATGTTTACTAGCGTAATTAATTTGTTATCAAACATTACTGATAAACATGCCAACTGTTTAAGTAAGCTAATCCACGTTGTTCTATTTATTGAACTCCTCAGTTTTTTTTGTAAATGTGATTTGAATTACTGTCTTCGTTTTCCACTCAATACTTTGAGTATTTTGAAACATGATGATTTCGAAATATACAATCCTGCGCTGTACTGTATTAGCTGTTTCGAATCAAATTTTCACAAATTCGGTGAATGCTTCGGTTTATCTTTCAGTACTTATACGCCCTATTTAAATCACAAACGCTGAACCTTTTGAATTTTCTAAGCAATACTTTCACAATGCTTTTCTCTAGCTATTTCCTTTAAGTCGCGCGTCAAAAACCGTTTGAATTAAACATATCTCAAAGATTTCGCACGATTTTTGATTGCAAGATTTTTGGACACATTACATGATTCTGTCAATATGTCATTACAGTTCTTCATTTCCTTTCAAGTAAACTTTTCGTCTTATTTCTGTTTCATTTTTCAGTTTTGAGCGATGGCAGTCGTTTGAAATTATATTTCAGTTACTTCTACATTTCTATTTTGAAAAAAAAAGAACCTAAATTTTCCTCTCTATCCTGTTCTTTTCAAATTTTCATTCAATTTTTCACAATAAATTTACAATTGAAATTGCTAAAATTGAAAAAATTTGCTAGAATTTGAAGCAGAATTCCACACTTACATTTGACAACACAGCTTACAGATTTTCTTTAAAACAAATATGCACTAGCAGCATCTTTATTTCAGAAACCTCAGCAATTCAATCAGATTCTACCAAGAATGATTCGATGACTTAAATGCGCATGAAATGCATCAAATTGTGCTATTAGCTATTAGAGGTCGATGTGTACAGAACAGATATTTCGCACTTACATATGGACTTTTAATGCAAATCGCCAAGTTTCTAGATGCAACTATTTATTTTTTTTGAAGAACAGTTAAACTTTTAAAACAAAAATTTGGAAAGAACTGTCCTTAAAAACAATGACCTATTTTTAAGCTGCTGAGGAAGCATTATATGTGTAATTATTCACAGTGTTCCAAAATAAAAATTAGTTAGAAAAAATGTTTCGGAACAGATCTCCGTTGTTTTCATTTAAAATATATAAAAGAAATAAGCAAAAATCGACAATATTTTATTGTTAATGTTTGATTTCAAAAAAAAAAACTTTGAATGTAATGGTTACCTCCGAATTTGAATCTTACGAAGCTATAGTTTTTTCTTAAGATAACAATACTAAAAATGTAAGTGGGAAATTAATTTTTTTAGATACCGATATTTTTCAGACATTTGCTATCTATTTGCATATTTTCCCAGTTCTTTAATGAATAACTATAATGCCGTTACCTTAATTAGAAACGGTTCAAGCAAATACGGCGAAGTTATAAAGAAATCTAACTAGAACAGATTAGTCATAGCTCTATTCAAACAAATCGTAAGAAAAAATACCTTAATATATGCATTTTGATTATATGAAATTAAGTGTGTAATTCAACTCCTTGATAAGCTGAAACGAAATTATAGCTGCATAAAAATAGAAGAAGGAAACTTTATGGAAGTTCTGTTAACATTTTCCAAAAAACGAGAGATTGTGGATGAGTGTAAGAATTAGAAAAAATATTTTTTTGGTTTTTGTAAACTGCCTGCGATATTAAAAATTAAAAAGTAACCGATACCGAAATATAAATTATAAGACTGTGAAGCAGGGCTGTGAATTGTCCGTTAAAAACAAGTGGCAGTTTCAATACTTCCATTTCGTCTTAAACTCCATAAACAGCCCGAAAATTGTCATCACATTTATTCATGTTTGCTATGAATTGGAAAGCGACATGATACTAACGGAATAAATTAGACAATATTTTTTTAAAAAATAAGTTGACTGCATTAACTTGAAGTGGGAATAAGGCTGAAGAAAACTTAGAAGAAGGCTTATTAGGTTAATCTTCCACACCAGATAACTGTTCTAAACCAATCGAAATTGAGCAATGATAAGAGTGATACACAAAACGGTGTACTTTGACCTTCACGCAACATTTCATTGAAAACTTTTAGCCACTTTTTCAATGGCTTTGCTGTAAAATGTGCTCCAAATATCAATGCGATCGATAAGAGAAATGGAATTGCTCTGTAATGTGGATGATAAAACGACGTTATTTATAATATCGTAGAAGCACTAGAAATCAGCAAAATAGGTTGCTGTGATACTTCTTGCTTACATAGGAAAAGGAAGGGTAGTGAGAAGGGTACTACTTATTTGACCTCGTCTCAATTGCAAACTCCTCTGTAATTTCTTTCGAGAGTAACTCTTTTGTTGAAAGCTGGGACCTTATCATATAAACATCTTTCGAGATTAATTGACCGCATGCTTAGCTGTAAATTATGGGTGTGAAAAAATTTTAAGCTGGAATGTAAGCGAGGTTTTATTTTTAATTGCGTTTAGGACGAAGATTATAGGAATTTTCAATGGCATGCAATTCTCTAATCATTCTCTCATTATACCACGAAATTTATTATTTTATTTGCATATCCACTGCATCATTTAGTTTAAATCTCTCATGAATCGAATTATTATTTTTTTTTTCTGATCAACTGATTAAGCATATAGAATTTGTTTGTAGAGAAGCGGATGTCGAGATCGAATCGTCCCATCTCTCATCACAAAGTTGCAAGGTTGTTTTTACTATATTTATTTCATTGATTTGCTTATTCGTAGAATGGTAGGGAAAACACTTAAAGGATGTTGTGGTAAGAGTTAAAGTTGATTGTTATTTATTATGTTTACTTCAATGGGTAAATCAACAGTTACACCAGTTGAAGCATATGAACCTGTCACTTGCTGCAGTGTGTTATTGTAATGGTAAGATCAAATCTACATGTTCTGTAACAGTTGTAGATGAAGTTTGATTTTTCTAGGAGAGTTTTACTAATCTCGGGAAGATTCGTTTGATGTAAATGTTAATATGTGAAATGAATATATAATATAATAATTCTAATAATGCACAGGAATATAATAATTCTTTTATCAACATAAGCAATGATACAACAAATTTTATAGAGAAGAATTGAGATGCAAGTAGTGAAAACCCCTTTTTGTGGTCGAACTGCCTCTTGGTTGAGCTCCCCTAGTTCTTCGTAAACACACACACACTTCCCGCTGAACATGAGTGACCTCAGTATATAGCAAACAATATGCATAAACAAAGTACATGATTTATAATACGAAGCTGATCTGCCGAAAGAATAATTAGTCTAAGACATCGATTAAGCAAAAGTAGTTAAATTCGTACATTCAAGGTCAATTTACAATTAGTAGCTACAGAACAATGAGGTCAACTAAATAAGGAGCTGAAACCGTGTAAACAGTCTGTTTGAAAGATGAATACAAAATAAACGGTTTTCTACGTGAAATAAGACAATTCTTAGTTTTATAAATGTAATACAATTTTATTTGGTCTATTTTGTTATTTGGAGGTTCGCAAAACTTAGTTCGAGCTTGGTGACGACAGTAATTTGTTTAGAAAATGTTCATTTCCTTTTTCTTTTACGAATTATTTAAAAGATTCGAAACTACTGAGCCTTGAGATGAAATGAACTCAATTTTCACAAGAGTTTCAGTAACCACGTGGTATGCGAGGAAGCAGATAGAATTTCGATCGATGGTTCTCAGTTAAATTTATATTTTTGTTAGCAAATTGTTTCGATACCATTTTCTCCAACTCATCTCTTAAAATATATCTATACAAACACACACGCACAAACAGATATGGATATATATATATCCATATCTGTTTGTATATTTCCTCTTATTTTGAAAGAACAACTGAAAAACATATTCAGTAAACAGACCTTTCTCAATCCAAGATTCCTATCGATTTGTTAACTTTTGTGTATGCCTGTCTATGATTCATTACACCTGTGACAACATATCTGTTTACTAAATTTTTCCAGTCAAAATTTACTTGATGCTATAATTTTGAATACAGCAATCATACAAAAAATGGTAGATGAAAGGGATGATTAGTTTTGACCAAAATTCGGAGATATCACATTATACTGGTCCGATAGATTTCACAAGTTGAGGTCATTTCTTTGCTTGTTACTTGTTGTCCGCTATTAGCTAATTTTCAGACAATAATTTAGTTTCTTTGATATTAATTAAAATCATTTAAGGAATGATTTTATAACGGCAAAGCGTCAATCTGTTCTGTTCAGTGAGCGTTTTAATGAAATTGTTACAAAAAAACAAACTTCTCAACAAAGCCTGTCATGTGTCTGTGATTCAGTAAGTTATATCGATTGCTTTGCTGAAGTGGAAAGATGCACCCAATATTTATTTTAAACGAAGCACGCTTTACTTTTATTTCGGGGTAATTGGTTAAGTCTTCGACGGGTACCACTAAAGAGATTAAACGAACGCTTGTCTATTACTGATTGATAACATTTTGTTGGCCTTGTCGATTTTGCAAGAGTGGGAATAGTTCCAACTTTCTTATTCAAACTGATAATATAGCAAAATTCAGGACGAAAGCAGTGGTGTAAATTTTAAGCTGAAAAGGCAAGTAACCCGAGCAAAACTGGTTCATCGAAGCACATTGGCTCTTTATGATAAGCACTTAAATGCCTTTTATGGATGTATGGAATCACATCTATTTGACCGTGCCCTCATAATAAATCTTGTTAAAAGGTGTTCATTTGAAACAATCGATACTTTGAATTGTAAAATAGTGTGAAATTTTGATTAATTTTCATTACAGTGGTAGATATTTGTTTTGATTGAAGTGATGGATTCATTATTGATTTTGTGTTGATTTGCCTAAGCAAAATCTTTCTTTGAACTCTATGAGGAAACCGTTTTAATAGCGGCAAGGAAAATAAAGGCATTTTCCCGCTGTATGCATTTTGCAGGAAAATTTTCAGAAATGAGGTGAACGGTTTACCGTACGAAAATATCAGATGTGATTATGTACCCTGTATTGCTTATATTTATCCAGAAAGAAATGGTAAGTATTTGGAATTCCGACCATTTCAAATTTTCTATTTTTACCTATTGCTTATTTCTATTTAGTTTATTACAGGAGGTATGCCAGGACTCGTCATTTAGCATGAGCTTGCTTTTTGAATGCAAATTTTAGATCAACATATGAATGAAGGCCACAGTTCACGCAGTGATTGTCCAGATTTGTTTATCCCAGATTTCACGCGAGCTAAAGTCTTCAGGGAAAGTGATCGCTGGCCAGGCAACGAAGAATTTACATTGACTCTTACAGATGAATCAGGAAAGAGGTTAGATTTTATTGCAAATATTATTTGAGGAACTTTTCTACTTTCAAAACATTTAATTCTTATTTTCAGACAGTGTGCTATAAATATTTTTTCTTTTGAATATCTCAGTTATTAAGCTTAAGTTTCTGTATATATAGACTACCTGGTAATATACTTGCAAATGAGAAATGCCAATAACTGTAGCCTAGTTTGACTCTTATTTTTAAGCCTTCAAAGTATTTAATCCTTCTGTTTTCATACCTCATTACTCCTATACTTGTTCCAGTTTGATTGCAATTCATAATTACTATGTTTTTCAGTCTGCACCTTTTACTACTTTATTGCTCTACATATTGTATATTATTCATTTCTTATTCTTCTCTTGCAATGTGATAGTTATAGAAATGAATTTCAGAACTTTCGCATACTGTGTACGTCACTTGATACGACGTCATGAGCTGATTAACGAACAAGGTATTCCTTCTGATATTTTTTTGTAACTTTTAAGAAAGTGTTTTATCTTTTTTAACATTTACAGTTTTTTATGGCTTTATAGTGAAGGAGAAAGTGATGTTATGTAATGATTATCGTACCATAAAAATTAATCAATTCCTTTGAATATTTAAGACCAATTAGCTGTAACCTATATTTACAGTCTTACAGAAAATATCGTTTTATCCCGGATAAGTAAAATATAATTGCATTTTTGCTTTTACGGAAATAACTTTGCGCCGTGAATAGTTACAAACAAAGATTGTTTACAGCTACGTCTTCAAAAGAAGGTGATTTGCCCGAAGTTTTTGCTATCATTTCACCGATTCATGCACCACTGTTTTATTTTGCGCTTGCTCGAGAATGCGTGTGTTATCTACATGATAATTTGAAAAGACTGGAAAATTTGCTGAATGTTGTTTATCGATGCACATTCCCTACTGACGGTTAGAATATTAGACTTTCTCAGATAATTTATATATCTGAGTTTAGGAAAGAATTTGAATCTCTAGTACTTCGAAAGAACTTCACTCTTATACTGGACTGCAGCTACTGAGTAACTAGTATCTCATTTCAGGTAGTTCTCTGCATGTTTTCGAAAAAGCAAAAGATGGATTCAAACGGAATATTGTGATTCGAGGACAAGGTCCTACACTGGGTCAATCAGATTGTTCTGGAATTGTGCGACGCATGGGGCCAGAAATTACAGTTGCTATAATTGCAGCATTACTGGCTGAACAACGAGTTATCATTGCTGGTGGTTCGGTAGTTTTTCAAATGTTTATGTATTTAAATGCTTTGCAATTGAATAATTCATGGATGAAATAGTGGGTCAACTAATTAGGTAATGAAGGAAGATATATTTGAAGTAAGGAAATGAGTCAACTAACTAGTCAGTGATGTGAGGAAGAAATATATATTAAATTTCCAAAAGTTAAGGGAAACGAGAATGAAAATATTATAGCATTATGAGTTGAAGATTACTTTATTAAGTAGTTGCAGGTACAATGCGTTTGCCACGCGGTTCAGTCGGTCGCTTGTCTATTGCATCCATTTTCATGGCCTTATACATTAATCCCAGTTCTACCAGATTCTTTGTTAGAAATAGTAAATTCTCCAACACCATATCTGATGGGGTTGTTAAGGTCAGTTAGTTCTTTTTACCGCGTGTTTTTCTTTGCTACTTTTGCGATTTATTCAACATTTTAATTTGTCGATGCAGTCAATTTGTTTACTGCTGTTGAAGCATTGATGCTATTCAGTCTCGAATAAATTTTAGGACAAACATGTATAAATTGAAGTCTTTGGCTGCCAAGGATAAGAATCAGTGCACTGATGATCTTACCCAGGTAGGTTTTACAAGTTAAAAGTTCCTCAGTATTGTGTTTGCAAACGTTCGTCATATTATGAACCAAATATAACTTCGAAAGTATTAGGCACTTTGTTTTGAGGACGACCTTGTTATAGTCGATCTCGATGGCGGCATATTTGTGCCACAACTTACCGAACTGTATACTGCAAGTGAGAGTATTGATTATAAAGCAAAAAATGCATTCGCATTATGTGAGAAACTTTTGGTGCCCAGGAAGCTTGCAGTAAGTCTTGCTATAAAACTCAAAGAAGCTATCGCTGTTGGTGAAGGCCCTCGCGCTGATCTTTTACTTCAGAAAGTAGGTTTTTGTTTTGGGCTGAAAAATAACTTTTGATGAACTGGGTGGAAATGCAGTTTGAACGACGAACATAAGAAGATAGTTTTTTTTATTTCATCTTTTACTTTCAATTACTGAAATTTATTTTATGCCGAAAAAGAAGCTTTCAGGCAATGCTATCTTGGTTTGCAGCTTTAATTTGGCCCTATAAAGGTTGTGGCTTCTATGCGGCATTTATCGCCGAATCAAATGGTGATTTTGAATCTATTCGGACTAGCAAGGCTCAACTGATCGCTTCACACTCTTCTAAATCTGCTCGACGTTTTACCGAATGGTTTGTCGAAACTGGTATTTTTCGTGAGTGGATCCGTCGAAAGGTAATTTATTGTAATTCGTCCGAAATGCAGAAATGCATGCATTTTTCGAAGTTCAAATCCTTTTGTTTACCGTATAAATCCTGATTACATCTTTAACAGGTGGCTAGTGCTCCGGAAATAACCAATATGATTCTTGATGTCGCAGAAGATGTGGTAAATCAGAAATTCGACGAATACGTCATTGCGGCAACCCCTCAATCATCCCAGAGGCGTGTGACTAACATATTCATAAAAGCACACAACGTTGTCTTTCGTTCTTATTTGGGGAAAAAGTTGTGAGATTAATATTATCAAAACTGTCTACTGCTGAATAAAATATTTAGGAATGATTTATATATAACATATATTACATAATGTGGAACTTGTTATATTTTGTGTATTTAGTCCTTCAAGTGGAATCCTCTTTTTCAAGATTTTTCAAATAGTTAGATTGAAAGTAATGAAGAGTGAGTAAATTTAATTTTCGAAATAATGATAAGATTTTTAAAATAATGAAAAATAACAAAATTTGATGAAAAGCTTTGGAATGGGAAATTCGTTAAAACACCAGAAATGCCGTTTGGTATAATTCCAGGAATGATCATGACAGTTGAAGATGAAAACTTAACATCGTAAGGATGAATTATTACTACGTTTCACCAACACTATATCCTAAGTTTTACTAGACCAATAAAATTATTGAATTTACAATAGGAATAGTGAGGATTTCATGTCTTTGTTCATTGTTTTGCGTACAATGAAATGAAGAACTCTTCTGAACAGCTGTTACTGGCAGTTGTAACGGCAGTTCAAAATATTTTTTTGTGAGTGAGATTTCATCCACTTACATCCATGACTTCCTGACGGTATATTGTTTTGGTGTAATGGTGAGTAGGATATTTTTGATTGTTGACAGGACGCCGTTCTCCAGTTGTTAACTACATAAAATTTTTTGGATCACCTAATCAGCTTTTTGAGATTCAAAAGTTTTGGAGGCTCTCCCATTCTTCTTTCCTTCTTACTTTCTTAACATCAGTAATTCGTCTACTCGATTTATTAGCTCTTCAAACTTTTGTTTTTCACCGAATATGCACTGCTTAACTGATTCATTTTGTTATTTCGTTTATTCATTCGTTAACTGAGGTGTCATCCAGTGAAGTTTTCGTTCTTATTTCATATTGTATTCACTCTCATACAATCACCTGTTTTGTCAACAACGAAGTTTTCTCTGTTTTGTTAAGCAAAGCATCCTTTACAACGATGAATTCAGTTTGGGCCAATTAATGACTTATTATACAGTAAAGTAAAAGTCAGTCCACCACTCTACTTTTCTATCGCAGATACCTTTCTGGAACATTTGCACGATCTATTTGGGCTATGACCTCCAATAAATTTAATTGATTTTTATAGAACACGATTCCTACTGCATCTTACTTTGACTGAAATGACACAATGACACCGCAATGCGAAACAGGTTTCAACATGCATCAAAGAAACTTGCTGGATTGATGATGCTCCGGTGATTGCAGCCGGAATACTTCAGGTCACCACACACTTCCGAATTGTCCTGCCTTCAGTAGATAGCACAAAATTGTGCCAAGACGATATCCGTTGCAAAGAGTTGAGGTGCTGATCGTGTGGAAGTCCAGTAGAATATATATATATATATATGTGGTAGCATATTTTTCATTTGCTGGGTGACTGATTGTTTCTTCTGATCTAGCTATTAACAATTGGTACTGTGATGTAGAACTGATATGCTGAAGATTTTGCCTAAATAACCTTTCTCCTAGACTAAACGCTGTGCCATATCTTAATTTAAATCTTAAGGACAAGTTCCTGTTTCTTTCTACTGAAACACTATTTGTTGCTTAGACTTTTAATTTATAATTCCTGTTAATATTTCAGTTTAATTTATCTTTATGTTAAACCATGCAATGCTGAAGTCGCATTCTGAATAAAGTTGTTGCTGTTATTATTCTTCGTTATTCATCATAATCACGAAAGTGACAATCATTTCTGATTGCAGGAGATACACTAATGTAGAATATGTATTAATGTATTTATAACGAATGACAACTTCGGTGTTAGACGATGAAAATATTCATGTCAAAGAGCTCAACAGAGTGAGTTTTTTGTTCGTTGTATTTTTTCGTTAATACAGTGACTTTGTAAAGAGCTTTAAGGATTCATTATACAAACGATTTATTTGAAAAAGAAAAATTTAGTTTTTTTGAAGCTGTTTCTAAGTTGCGTAAAAAATGGCGACACACACTTGGACGCTACTGGCTTACAGGATTTATGCATTAAACTCAACCTTTGTTCTTTTACTGATGTCATACTTGAACGAATACTCGGTGGCTGTACAGTTGTCGACTTTACGGTATATAATATTGTTCGAAGTTTTTTTTACTGTAAATATAAATCTTTCATTTTTTTGGCGAACCTTTTCTGATAACCCAAACTCCTAGATTTGATGATGGAAAACTGAGAACTGGTTTGTGGAAAAAGAAAAACAGGTGGCTTTAAAAAAATTCATTTGAAGATGTTCAAAGAACGGTTTATGCAGTTGCTGCCAGATATTATCAGCGTTTCCACGGTAGCAGAAAATCTTGAAAGTAATGCAGAAAAAAATTTGTCGGAACTTGGAATTGAACCCTGTGGTTTTTTAACTCGCTACGACATTCGTATTTTGTGCGGGCATATGCCAGAACTAAATAGGTAAACTTTAGATATGCAGCAAAAAAAAATCCCTTTTGCAGTGTAACATGTGAAATTAAGTATTTTCCCGTAAAATGACTCCTTCCTTATACTATACTTTAGATCTTGAAAATGTTCTTTGGAAAACAGCCTTTCAGTCTTGGGATAATGGAGATCGATAAGCTTTTTGACCATGCGGATACTAGCCATATAGGACGCATCACATTAGCACAATTTCTTGCTCAATATCAAATGCAGAAGTGGTTAAGCGAAGAAGTGAATTTTATTACTGAAACTTTCATACCTTCAGTGAATTTGTTCGAGGCATTGGATCTTTCCAATACTGGGTAATCATGTAGTTTCTGTATCAAAATTTTAATCTATTGTTTGTTAAACACTAACCTTCCTTTGAAATCGAAATCTTCCTGCAACACAAACAGCGACAGAGAATGCATCTTAATTTTTAGAAGCATTCGATGCCAGGAATTGTTGGAACATTGGCGAGCGTGCGGTATTAGCATGGAACAGGGTTTATATGTTTTGAAGGTAAAATGAGTGGAATATTGTTAAATGTTAGTTGAATGTTATGGATTTTTAAATGGAAATATAAGGACTTCATTTTGTAAGTTACGATGTTTTTATTCTATTAAGGTTTCCGGACAACCACTTGAAGGGACAATCAATGCTATCTCACTTAGTGGTAGTCTGGAGCGACAGTTAGGTACTTTAGTAGCTGCATCGACTGCCTCCCCAGTAATTCGAGTTGCACTGCTTTCACTTCATGCTTTTATCGATCACCTAAGGTATGTTTATATTATGCTGTTATTCTGGTTTTCGCGATTTAATATTTTTGTTTTTACCATCAATTTCAGTCATTCTTTTTTCAAAGTGGATTCTAAAGAGTACTGAAGATGGAACTTCTGGATGAAAGTTAGAGAACTTACGTTTCAGGTGTTCGCTAAAGGAGGCTGAATTGCGTGCAGAACATTTTTACAAACAATTCCAGCAGGCGAATCAGAGACATGTTCTTTTGATCGAAGAATTAGAGCAAAATCAACTCTCCATTGAGCAGACATATGAGCAACGGTGTAGGTTGGTTTTACTAAAGAATTTAGTACCTGAAGTCATCTTCTGTGTTCTATATGTGCAGTCTTATTTATAGCGTTTTTTTTTCTGTTAAAATGCAGATAATTACCAATTTTTTAAAAAATTACTCTTTTTATTATAGGAGTTCTGATGAACGCTATCAGAAAAAAATAAGTCAAATCGAGGAGCAGTTCTCTCAAGAAAAAAAAGACTTGCTAGCTGAATTGGAAAAGGTTATTTTGAATGTTTCATAGGTGATTAAGAAAAAAAAATGGTGTAGAATTGTTTTTAGGCAGAAGAAAAACTTGCTGAATTTCGAAAAAATGAGTCATCGTATCGTACTCGTTTGCAATTGCTTGAACGGCAGTACGCACGAATTACAGAAGAAGCAAAGGAATTATCTGAAACGGTGCAGCAATCAGAGCAAATGAACCGACATCTACGCAGCGAGCTGAATAAGGCGTTACAACCGCGACTAATGGAAGAAACGCAGCCAACGATGATGCTAAGACGTCGTGTTGAATTACTTATTACTCACAACAAGGTTTTTGATGGAATTGTAGAAATGAGTTTAAATATTTATGTAAATAATAAGCACATAAATTCTTCTTCAGAGCATGGAACACATCACTTCTGAAAAAAAAAAACATAAAACGAATGGGCTGGATTTTACTTTGAGGACTTTTTACTCCTTTGTAGGGTAAAATATCAATCTTCTGTTACTATTGCAAAACCTGATTGGATTCATTCTTTAGTTTATAAAATAGCGAAAGGGACTATGAAAATTTTTTAGTGCATCATGATTTGAATTACTTGTTTATTACATCATGATGTAAATTGTCATGAATGAATTGGTTGTTTCAGAATTAGCTATTACAGTAATTCTGCAAAATTTTTCAGAGGTTACGGGAAAAAATACAAGAATTAACAATTAATCGGAAAAAACGCAATAGTCGTTTCAACACGGTTGAGCCACTTTATTTTCATTGGACCAGTACGTTTAGATTGGAAATGTTGGCTTTAAAAAGACGTAAGGAAGATAGACCAATTGATACACTATCAGGTAGCTATCATTTTTTGATCTTATAGTAAACCGTTGGTCAGGTATATTCTAGTGATCGCTAAAATGTTTTTACAATAAAATATTATACTCTACGAAATTATTCAGAGATGGAAAGTGAACCGGAGTCTATCTTTATGAGATTCAGGAGACGTCGTATGTTGAAAGTCAAGGAACGAAAACGTCGGCATGACCGAATTGCTAGGATTATGGACAATTCGTCATCAAGTATATGCATCATATTCAAAAATCATGTTTATTCATTTCGTAACTTATGTTTTTTAAAATGATAATGTAAATGATTCGAACATCATTTACTGCCAAGTTATTGGTAATGCTTTAGATGAGTGGGTAGTGAATGCAAGGAAAGATAAAGAAAAGATATCAGATGTTACACTGAATAAAAAGCTCAAACAAACTTTGCTGGACGGTCCACACGACAGTGTGGAAAGAA